AGAACTGATAGGTAAGGTAGGTTATTGTTCGTTCTGTTGGGTTGGATGTTGTTGCTTTGATTTCTCTCTTGAGCCATTGTATTATCTGGCCTTTAATCTTTGGGTTTTGGTTGTTTTTATATTCCTGAGTTTTTATTATGGTGTTCCGTGCATAACATTCTTTTGAGTAGTTCTTGTAGGGCTGGTCTTGTCTTGGTGAATTCTCTGAGACTTTGCTTGTCTGAGAATGTCTTTATTTCTCCTTCATATATGAAGCTTAGTTTTGCAGGAAATAAGATTCTAGGGTGGGCATTGTTTTGTTTCAGAAGAGTGAGAATGGGGCCCCAGTCTCTCCTTGCTTGTAACGTTTCATTAGAGAAGTCTGGTGTTATTTGAATTGGCTTTCCCTTGTATGTTACTTGCTTCTTTCATCTTACAGCTCTTAGAAGGGCCTCTTTAGTTGATATTTTGGTCAGTCTGATGACTGCATGTTGTGATGTCTTCCTGTTTGCATTGAATCTTCCAGGGGTCCTCTGAGCTTCTTGAACTTGTATATCGAGATTTTGAGCAATGCCTGGGAACTTTTCCTTTATTATATCTGCAAATAGCCTGTCCAACCCTTGAGTGTTGTCTTCTTCCCCTTCTGGTAACCCTATGACCCTCACATTAGCTTTCTTCACATAATCCCACATCTCTTGTAGGCTTTTCTCTTTTCTCTTGTTTCTCTGTTCTATTTCTGTGATGGTTTTATTTAGTTGGAGAGTGTTATCTTCAATCTCTGAGATTCTTTCTTCTGGTTGATCTACTCTGTTCTTGAGACTTTCCACTGTATTTTGTAGTTCCCTGAATTAATTCTTCATTTCAAGGAGTTCGGTTAAACGTTTCTTCATTGTTTCTATTTCTTTAGCGAACTTTTGTTCTAGATTCTGGAGGCTTTTTGTGGTTTCTTTGTGTTGGTTATTGAGTTGTTCTTGCAGGTCGGTGAGTGTTTTTATGATCCATATACAAAATTCGTCTTCTGTCATTTTGGTTGCCTGATTTTGGTTGGTGTCCGTCTGTAGGGGGTTGGTCCTCCTCTTTGGGGGTGTGTTTTCCATTTGGATCTTCATATTTCCGGAGTTCCTTCACTGATTTCTTCCGATATCGATCAATTGTTGTTTCTTTTCTTTACATTTTTCTTTGGGTATTCACATGCCTTGTTTAGTTTCTGAGCCAGTATGTGGTGTCTGTGGGTGAGATTCGACCACTCCCTGTATAATTAGTCAGTAGGTGCTGTGAAAAGGCTGTGTAGGATGTCCTCCCTTTCGGTAGGTGGCGCTTGCTTGGAGGAACAGGCTACGCTGTTGTTTTTGTGTCCTGTTATTAGCTCTTGTTCCTGTAGGGAGGCACTCTAGTGCCTCAGGTGGTTAGTGGGGCCCTGAGACTTCAGGTGTGTCCTTTTCTCCCCCTCAGTGAGGACTGGTCTAGGAGAGAGTCTGGCCGGAGCTGGGTTGGGAAAGCCTGCCGGCAGGCACCACCAATGCAGTTAGCAGGGGTCAAATATCTGTTCTCTGCTTCCAGGAACCACTGTCAGGGAGGGGCTGGAATGGCCCACCTCAATCTGAAAATCTGTGTGTGGGGGTGGGGCTGTCTGAGACCCGCAGTCTGTAGCGGGCTCCGTTTCTTTCCACCCTCCCCAACTCCACAGCTACTCCTGTGCCTCTGCCAGCAGGCCAGACCACACGCCACCAGGCCTTCCTGGACTGTGACGCTGGCGGGGAGGTTCTCTGTGCAGGAGCGCCACCTGGGCTGGGCGCACGGCCTTGCTTTGGTGGGAAGGTTGCCCTCTAGGATGCTGATCTGCCCCTGAGGGCACAGACACCTCAGTAGGCTGTTCACGTATCTCCCTTCTGTGCCCTGGGCAATGCGAGACCTTTGTACATGGGATTTGGTCTGCAGGTCTTACCTCTGGGTCCCTGAGTTTGAACTATATCCCCACCAGGGAGAGGAATGCCAGTCCCAATTCACCCACAGGGAGCCCAAGCTGGGTCTATGTCTCTGAGCCTCAGGGTCTCCACCGGTCTCCTGGGATCACTGTGCCAGCAGCACCTGGGAGGGCTGGCGGGTATGGAGGTCACAGTCTGAGTTCCCCTTAGTCAGCTGTAGGGTCCCAAAAGGGAAGGTACTGTTCCCTGGAGGTGCCTCCGGCTGGTGGCTGTATTGTCTCTCTGGGCAGCCATGTATACCCATCATTCAATTCCCACTTATAATTGAGTACATGTGGTGTTTGTTTTTCCATTTTTGTGATATGTCATTTAGGATACCCTATTTAGGATAATGGCTTCAATGGTTCCATCCGAATTGCTGCAAAAGACATTATTTTATTCTTTTTCTTATTACATAGTATTCCATGGTGTGTGTGTATGTACATATATATATATAGAGAGAGAGAGAGCGAGCAACAGACAGAGTGCACATCTTCTTTATCTACTCATAAGTTGATGGGCACTTAGGTTAGTTTCATATCTTTGCAATTATGAATTGTGCTGAGATAAACGTGTCTTTTTGATATAATGAGTTCTTTTCCTTTGGGTAGATACCTAGTAGTGGGATTGCTGGATTGAAGGGTAGATTTACTTTTAGGTCTTTGAGAATCTTCATACTGTTTTTCATAGAGGTTGTTCTAATTTACATTCCTACAGTGAATAGCATTCCCTTTTCACCACATCTGTGCCAATATCTGTTGTTTTTTGATTTTTTAGTAATGGTCATTCTGACGGGGGTAAGGTGGTATCTCATTGTGGTTTTTATTTGCATTTCCTTGATGATTAATTATGTTAAACATTTACATTTTTGCACATATAAGTGGAATCATATTTTTGTGCAACTTGCTTATCTAAATAACCTTTTAGTTGATAATTATTCTCTGTTTTTTGGTGGCTAACGAATAATCTGTGTGTGGAGTTACTGTTATTTAGTTATTGTCTTTCATTAGTTCTTTTCTCTTTTTTTGTAAGAACCTATCTATTTGCTATTTGTCTATAATTTCTAACAAAGCAGCGCTATAGTATCACATTTCTCTGATCTAAATTATTTCTTTTCCTCTAACATCTTTTTAAACATCCATATCCATTGTAATCCTTTTAACCATAATACATTCTTTGGTAAATGTCATGAAAACGGCCACAGCAAAACTAACCCTATGCATCAAAGTATGGTTTCCTTTAGTAAAGCAAGTGTGTTGTAAAGTTTTGGATACAGATGGAAAGTGACACTAAAATTATTTTGACTTTTGGTTCAAATAGAGTATCACTATGTAATTTTCAAGAGACCCTGACTGAGGATTTTTTGATGCTCTTTGGATGTCACTTATCTTATTAAAGCTGCTCTGTGGATTTGAACACTAGGTAGCCCACAAAGAGAGATTGATAAAGTCCTGGCATGATGTTTAGTTAGAAGCAAACTAAAGAAGGCAGAAGGTAGCCATTTTTGAATCTCTTCCTAATCAGTTGTTTGCAGGAGAAAAAATAATTATACTTCTTATTTGTAATGTTCTTTAAAGATTATAAAACCACTCTGATCCTCACAGTGCAGTAATCTTATTTTAAATTGGCAGCTTCATTTTATAAATGAGAAAACAGACTCCAAGGAAGTTCCTCCAAGTAAGATGGCTTTTATGTGGCAGGGCTGGGATTAAAACTCAATACTTCTATCTTCAGGCTTGGCACTCTTAAATGAAGTATCGTAGTTAAAAGTAATTCCTTCAATCCAATGAAATGAACTAGGGTAGGTATTTGTATTCTGTGGTGGCTGGGCCAATCTGAAACAGGTTTTCTGGGAAGCTAGAATGGGGCTGTGGTTTCTGGGAGAGGACATGTCTGTTTTAGGTGTGCTGGGATCAGTCCTGGATTCTTCCATGTTTTTGAACTGTTCTTTATTGACAAAGTCTTGAACAGGCTGCAGAATGCCATTCTAGAACTTGAATACCTAGAACTTGAATCCCAACCACCCTTTAGCATAGGCCCCAAACCCATGGTGTAGTTAGAGCCAGTCTGGAGAATGGGACAGAAGAGACTTTGAGAATGCTCTGTGGGATGCCAGAATCACTTCAGAGACTTCCAACAAAGATTTAAAAAGCCTTTTAAATGTTGATATTCATGATATATTACAGTGTACCCAGTGAGAGGGAGGAAAAGTCTGTTTCATTTACTATAGAGAAGACCCCTAGTGAGTAAGCAGAGGAGCTGGAAATAGAACTTGAGTTTTCTGGTTAAATAGTCATTAAACCATGCACACTTTAAATGCATATAATCACCATTGAGATAAATCTTTGTGTATCTCTCAGTGACCTGATAGGCATGCTATTCTTCTCTGGGTGTGTATTTCCTTGGAATTGTTGGAAAATCAGGTCATGGACTTATTTGTCTGGCCATTATGGATTTTCTTGGAAGAGTAGACTCAGGGTAAATTCTGTGAGATGTAGATTCAGAAAGTACTACAGGCCAGGTTTAGCCAAGTTAAAATCCACAGGTGAAACTAAACATGTAACCTAAAACTATTAGAAAATAAATGCTATTGTTTCCTAGAACATTTGTAGAAACAAATGAATGGCACCCCAGTTGAAAGGTCAGGATTTTCAACATCTTGAAGCCGAAAACTTACACTTATTGAATGTCTTCACTAGGGGGTTTTTGTGTTAGTGGATGACTGAGGTCTTTTGTTTCATTTGTTTTCCTCATGGCAATAAAGTTGAAATTTAGCAAGCTTTCAAAATGAAATTTCTCATAGAAGTTATAACCACAGGTTTTAAGTTTTCATCACCTAAATGTGGAACAGAACAATTGAAAACTTGAGAGGAGGGGAAAAGAGCATTGAGGACACATGTGGTGTGTATCAAGAATCATTGTAAATCAGGAAGGTGTGGTAACCGGGATTTCCTATGTTACAGACCTGCTGAAATAATACTACCCCACCTCCATAAGTAAATTTCAAATGAAGGTGCTGACCTTTCTGACACCTTGCAGAGGTGGTTTGCCCCTTACCTGATACTCCTGAGTTTTCTTGAAGCTGCAGTCCACAGTTTGCAGCTAGAAAAAAAAAAAAAAACATCTTTGGGGATAATGTGTTATTTGATTATGTCAGTTGCTACCTGTTGCTTGGGGCCAGACTAGTACATCTGAGCCTGTTCTTTTTATCCCTGCTGTAGCAATAATTCATTTCTATGTTTCCAAGTATAATAATAATAACAACTACGATTTATTGAGAACTTAAAAGTCCCAAATACTAGGCCAAGAACTTTTCAAAGGTGATCAGATTTAGTCTTCACAACCCCATGAGGCAAGTACTATTAATTGTCTCATTTGATAGAAGCTAATAGAAGTTATCAGTGGTTCCCCAAACTAGCTGCCTGTTAGTATTAGCTAGGGGAGCTTTAAAAATATTGGGTCCTAGGAATCTCTAGGGTGGAGCTGAGGCATTGTGATTTAAAAAAATTTCCCCAGTTAGTTCTAAAGTGCACACAAGGGTAAGAATCTCTGCGTGAAGTGATTTGCCAAAGGCACGCAAAAGGACTCTTGCTGGTCTATAGTGGAGTTCAAATCCAGAATCCAAGTATAGCCAGTCTGAATCTCAAGCCCATGCATAGCCAACTCTACTGCAGAGATGCCTAAACTTTTAATATGCATATGAATCACCTGGGGATCTAGTTAAAAATGAGTTGCTGCATTTCTGATAAACTCACAGGTGATGCCCTCTTGCTGGTCTGTGAAGGTCACTTGGAGCAGCAAAGCTTTGCTACTGGATAGTAGTAGTAGTACTTATTGTAGCCAAAAGGAGAAAATGTTGACTGAAAGACAGCAGTAAGATGGGGAACTGCTCATCATTTTGCTTTAGTGATGATGGCAGGATCACAGCCTAATTATATAACCTTCTCAGTGTTTTCCTAGGAGTATCCTAGACTTTCCTAGGGCTTAAATAGCCTGTTGCAGGTTATTTCCCTGTTCTTGAGAACCTTGGAACTTTAAGACTATGGTGAAACTAGTAAAACTTCACTTGCTGAGGAATTTTTATCTGTCAGGTAAAGATATGGTTGTAATTGCCAAATTGGTCAGTTGTCAAAACCCTTTTCTCATATTCTTAAAGCAGAATTCAGATCTATGAAAAATTATTAGAAATTCATGGCTGGGCATGGTGGCTCATGCCTGTAATCCCAGCACTTTGGGAGGACAAGGCAGGAGGATTGCTTGAGGATAGAAGTTCGAGACCAGCCTGGGCAACACTGTGAGACTGCCCCCTCATACCCTCTGCCTCTACAAAAAAATATATTGTATGGGTGTGATGGTGCATGTCTATAGTCCTAGCTACTCAGGAGGCTACAAAAAATTTTTAAAAAATTAGATGGGCGTGGTGGTGTGTACCTGTAGTCCCAGCTACTAAAGAGGTTGAGACAGGAGGATTCCTTGAGCCCAGGAGTTCAAGGCTGCAGTTAGCTGTGATTGTGCCACTGCAACCCAGCCTGGGCAACAGACTGAGACCTTGTTGCTAAAAAAAAATGCTGAAATTTGTTAAATATTTTTTCTGCATCTATTAAAATGATCATATGGTGTATGTTGAACCATCTTTATATCTCTAGAATAAATCCCACTTGATCATAGTGAATGATCCCTTTAATGTACTGTTGAATTTAGTTTGTTGGTATTTTGTTGAAAATTTTTACAATTATGTTCATCAGGGACATTGGCCTATAATTTTTTTTTTTTTATTGTAGTGTCCTTGTCTGGCTTTGGTGTCAGGATAATACTGGTCTTTTAAAATGAGTTTGGAATTATTCCCTCTTCTTTAAATTTTTGAAGAGTTTGAGGATTGTTATTATTGTTATTATTTTTAACTGTTTGCTAGAATCCAACAGTGAAGCCATCAGATCCTTGGTCTTTGGTGAGAGACCTTTTATTATTGATTCAATCATCTTGTTCATTATGGGTCTGTTTCTTCCTGATTCAGTCATGATAGGTTGTATGTATCTAGGAATTTGTCCATTTATCTAGGTTATTTAATTTGTTTGCCTTAGTTGCTTATAGAAGTTTCTTATGATCTTTTATATATCTATGGTATAAGTTGTAATGCCTCTTGTGTCATTTATAATTTTACTTAGTCTTCTCTTTTTTTTAGTCTAGCTAAAGGTTTGCTGATTTTGTTTATCTTTTCAAAGAACCAACTCTTAGTTTTTGTTAATCTTTTCTATGTTTTTCTGGTAACTATTTTATTATTTTTGCTATGATCTTTATTGTTTTCCCTCTTCTATTAACTTTGGGCTTAGTTTGTTTTTCTTTTTCTAGTTCCTTGACCTCTAACTTTAGGATATTTGAGATCTTTCTCTCTCTCTCTCTCTCTCTCTTTTTTTTTGATGTGCTTATTGCTATAAACTTCCTTCTTAGAATGACTTTTGCTGTATCACATAAGTTTTGATATGTCTTGTTTCCATTTTCATTTGTCTTACAATATTTTAAAATTTCTCATTTAAGTTTTTCATTGAAGCATTGGTTGTTCAGCACCATGTTTTTTAATTTCATGTATTAGTGAATTTTCTGAAATTCCTCCTGTTATTGATTTCTAGTTTTATACCATTGTGATTGGAAAAGATATTTAACATAATTTCACTCTTCTTAATTCACTCTTCCATATTCCATTTGCACTTGAGAAGAATGTGTATTGTGCTGCTGTTAGATGGAATGTTTTATATATGTCTGCTATGTCCATTTGGTTTACAGTGTTGTTTAAGTCCAATGTTTTCTTATTTATTTGCCATCTGCATGATCTGTCCTTTGTTGAAAGTAGGGTATTGAAGTCCTCTACTATTATTATTACTCTATCACTGCCTTCAGATCTGCGAGTATTTGCTTTATGTATTTAGGCACTTTGCTGTTTGGTGCCTATATTTACAATTGTTATATCTTCTAGATTAATCAACCCCTTTATCATTATATAATGACCTTTTTTTGTCTTAGTTGACAGTTTTTGACTTAAAGTCTATTTTATCTGATAGCTACCTCTGTTCTCCTTTGGTTTCCATTTGCATGGAAGATGTTTTCCCATCTCTTCACTTTCAGTTATACGTGTCCTAAAAGGAGAAGTGAATTTCCTGGCAGGGAGCATAGAGTTAGATTTTATTTTATTTTTTTAATCCATCCAGCCACTTCATCTTTTGATTGGAGAATTTAATTCATTTATATTCAGGGTAATTATTGGTAGGTATGGATTTACTACTGCTGTTTTGTAAATTATTTTCTGGTTCTTTTATAGATTATTTGCTTCTTTCTTCCCTTCTTGTTGTCTTCATTTGTGATTAGGTGTTTTCTTTGGTGGTATGCTTTGATTCCTTACATTTTTTATCTTCTGTGTACGGTAGTCCTCCTTTATCTACTCTTTTGCTTTCTGCATTATCAGTTAGCCATGATACAATCCAGTAAGATATTTTAAAACAGAGAGAGAGAGAGAGAGAGAGAGAGAGAGAGAGAGAGAGAGAGAGAGAGAGAACATTCACATAAATTTTAACATAATATATTGTTATAATTATTCTATTTTATTATTACTTGTTAATTTCTCACTGTGCCTAAATTATAAGTTAAACTTTATCTTGGTATGTAGGTATAGGAAAAATTGTGTATATTTTATGTGAAATATAATGTATATGGTATATATAAGATTTGGTTCTATCTGTGGTTTTAGGCATTCACTGTGGGTCTTGGAACAACCCTTATGGATAAGGAGGGACTATTGTACCTACTACAAGTTTTTTGGTTTGTGTTTACAATGAGGCTTACATAAAACATAGTTATTACAGGCTATTTTAAACTGATAATAACTTAGCTTTGATCTCATAGAAAGATGCAACGCTTTTACTCCAACCCTTTCACATTTTATGCTTTTGGTACAAAAATTTGCATCTTTTATATTGTATATTCTTTAAAAACTTTCATTGTTAAAGTTCCCTAATTGTAGCTGTTATTATTTTTAATAATTTTGTCTTTTAAATTTCATATTAAAGATTTAACTCATTTATATTCTACATTATTAATTATTCTGCATTTGACTGTCTTTATACTTTTGCCAATGAGTTTTATATTTTTATATGATTTTGTGTTGCTAATTAGCATGTTTTTCTTTCAGAACACACTTTAGCATTTCTTTTTTCTTTTTTTCTTTTAGCATATTATGGGGGTACAAGTGTTAAGGTTCCATATATTGCCCATGCCACCCCTTCCCCCTCGAGTAAGACACTTTAGCATTTCTTATAAGACATGTCTGGTGGTGATGACTCCCTCAGTTTTTTTTTATCTGCGAATGTCTATGTCTCCTTTATTTCTGAAGGACAGATTTGCTGGGCACAGTATTCTTGGTTGATACTTTTTATCCTTCAACACTTTGGATATATCATCCCACTCTCTCCTGGCCTGTTGCTGAGAAATCTGCTGATAACCTAATTGGAACTGCCTTCTATGTGATTTGCTTCTCTTCTCTTGCTGCTTTCAGGGTACTCTTTCTCTTTGATTTTTAATAGTTTGATTATGTCTTGGTGTAGTCTTTTTTGGATTGCAATTGACCAGAACTCTTTGACTTTCCTGTTACTGAATGTTTATATCTTTCTTCAGATTTGGGACATTTTCTGCTGTTATTTCTTTAAATAAGCTTTCCATCCCTTTGTCTCTCTCTTCTCGTTCTTGATCTCTTATATTTCAAAGATTGGCTCTTTTGATGTTATCTCATGAATCCTGTAAGCTTTCTTCATTCCTTTCATTCTTTTCTTCTCTGACTATATATTTTTAAATAACCTTTCTTTAGAGTTCACTGATTCTTCTGTTTGATCAATTCTGCTGTTGATTCTTTCTATTGCATTTTTAATTTTACTTATTGTAGTTTTTAGGTCTGGAATTTGTTTGATTTTTAAAAAATAATTTAAATCTCTCTGTTCCATTTTTACTTTTGACTATTTATTGGTTTCCTGATTTCATCCAATTTTTTCTTTTTTTTTTTTTTCTTTTTTCATCCAATTTTTTCTTCATGCAGTTGACCCTTGAACAACATGAGGATG